TAAGCCAGCAGGTGGTCATCCCCCGAGGAGTTCCAGACTGCGAGAGGGCACAGGCCGGGCTGAGGGACCTCCCACCTCACCGAGTGCACAAATTTTTGTGCACCAGGCCTCTAGTAATAATATTAAAAGGCTAATATGCACATTGACTGAATGGCAAAATGACCGCACTGGACACCAGGGGGCAGACGCTCAATGCAGGAGCTGCCCCCTGGTGGTCAGTGCACTTCCATATGGGGAGTGCCACTCAGCCAGAAGCTGGCTCATGGCTGGCCAGCCGTGGTGGTGGCAGGAGCCTCTCCCACCTACGTGGCAGCACCAAGAATGTCCAACAAATGGTTTAGACCTGATCCCTTGGGGGCCTAAGCCTTTAGTCGGACATCCCCCAATGGCTCTCTGGCTGCCAGAAGGTTGTCTGACTGCAAACTTAGGCCTGATCCCCCGGGGAGTGGGCTTAAGTCGACAGGTGGACATCCCCCAAGGGGTCCTGGACTGTGAATGGGCGCAGGCCGGGCTGAGGAACCCCCACCCCTCCAAGTGCACAAATTTTTGTGCACCGGGCCTCGAGTCTATAATAAAAGCGTAATATGCTAATTTGACCAGACAGCCAAATGACCTTCCAGACGAAGCTGCAGTGGCGGGGGCCAAGGCAGAGGCAGTTAGGGGCAATCCGGCAGGCAGGCAGAGTGGTTAGGGGCGATCAGGCAGGCAGGCAGGTGAGTGGTTAAGAGCCAGCAGTCCAGATTGTAAGAGGGTGCAGGCCGGGCTGAGGGACCCCCCAACCCATGCACGAATTTCGTGTACTGGGTCTCTAGTAGTTAATAATTGCTGAACCTGAGTGATGAATTTGGTTTTGGGGAAAAGGGGATTGTTAGGTGTGATTGAATAATTGAATAGACACCTCCCCTGAGAACTGACCTTTAGACCACACCAGACATTCCCTTTAGCTTAGCACTTGTTAAGACCACATTCCACTTACTAAGACCATTATCTTTCCCCTCATGACTCGCCCGGAGAATTCTCTGCTCAATAAAAGCCTGCCTAGAGTCCATTACAACCTCTGACTCCCAGTCCCTGGGTGCTGGTGCCATTTTGGGGCTCAGTCCATCTGGGTTTCCAGATGACCTAATAAATTCATAATTCTTTGTGCGTTCCTCCTTTGGTGACCCTAACATTTGGTGCTGAAACCTAGGAGGGTTCCACAGGGAAGGGAAGTCTTCGCTGGTTTCGGTCATCCTGAGTTTGCTACCAGTAGGCAGGGGCAGCTCAACCTGGCCTTACTTCTGAATCCTACTCGGGTGACATGGTGACCGGATTCAATTAGGCCTCCCTCCCTTACAGGCCCTCCTGAACCAGCCAAGGATGACGCTGGATTGGGACCTCTTCTTCCCACTGCTGACCCCGCACTCAACACCGGCTAGTTTCATCTCCGGTAAATGACTACTGGATTTCCGATTTGCCCCTTGTCTCAGATTAAAGACTAAGCACTAGGCCAGAAATCCTATCCAGTCCGGCTTTGGCCCCTGGGACCAGGTCCCACAGTCTTCCACATCACAGGGGATGCCTGCCACGTGGACTAGACTGAACTCTCTCCAGAGCCTGATTAGTTGGTGGGGACGCCTTCCCTCTAGTCTTGCTCCCTGGGTCTCCATTTGTTGCTTACCTCCCCTTCCTAATTTACACCACAGGGAATTTTTTTCCATCCCCCCAGAAAACACATCTCTGTGATTTCTCCTCCATAACCTTAAAACGCTCAGCCTTTATAAAGAGGTCCAGGCAAAGCACCTGATCTTCTATATATACGTAAAACCCTAATATGCAAATAGACCAAATGGCAGAAAAACCAAACAACTGGTTGCTACCAAGGGGTGTGCGTGGAGCATGGGCGTTGGCCGTGGTGGGATGGTGGAGCAGGTGAGCGGGGGCGCCAGACAAAGATGGGGCACCGGTCGCTGTCATTGGGGCGAGCCTCTGGTGGTTACCGAAAATTCTTTGCTCCCGTGCACCACGGTCTCACCCAGAGGTCATACCTGCTGCCAGTGCCTGGCACCGGTCCCGATCGCCCCTCAGGGCTTCTCTACCTCCCCCTGCTCCTGAGGTGCAATCAGGGCCAGCAGCTGCTGCTTGCACCCACTGCCGGCGACAGCCCTACTTGCACCCACTGCTGGTGCCAGCCCCAATCACTCCGCACCATCAGCGGATGAGAGCGGGGCTGACACCATCAATGCATGGGAGCGGTGGTGACAGGAGTGGGGCTGCTGGCAGATAGGGGACCGGGGGCTTCGGCAGGAGAGGCTGGGCAGGGGCACGGAGGATGGGCCGAGACCTGCCCCTGTGCTCACTGCAGCCTCACGGCCCACATGTCCTTTCAAGGTGCATGAGTTCATGCACTGGGCCCCTAGTCCACAATATAAATTATTCACACTGGCCTGAGATTTTAACATTCTCCAGGACTTAGACAATTTCTGTCACAGCAATGGGAAGTGGTCAGAGATCCCCTACATCCAGGCCTTCTTTATACTCCCTAATCGTCCTCCTCTCAGTCAAACTTGCTCTACTCATCAAATCCTATTTCTCCACTCAAAGCCCCTTCTGCTGACCCTGGACCTTTCCACCCTGAGGCTTCTGATCATCCTTCTCCAACCCATCAGGTCCCTCAGTCTCCCTTTGACCCTCCCAATCACTCGATTCTCCATTCCCCTCCAGGTCCCTGGAACCTACCTCTTTATGTCCCTCCTCTGACTGCCCCCCCCCTGTCTTCAGACTCCACGTCTTAAAATCTTTGACTCCCAGTCCCTGGGTGCTGTTGCCATTTTGGGGCTCAGCCCACCTGGGTTTCCAGATGACCTAATAAATTCATACTTCTTTACCTCCTTTGGCCTCGTGCACTCTTCCTTCGGCTACCCTAACAGAAGGGAATTTATTCTACTACATTTGTATTTGCTTGAAAATCTCCACAATAAGTTTTAAAAAATCATTATCATTGGTAAAATGGGATTCCATTTATTTGAGTAGATATTAGCAGTTATTGCCTTAAAGCTAACAAAACAAACAAAACTAACAATAAAAAACACGAGAGACTTATAATATCTGATACTTATATTAAAGCTGCTGCAGCAAAGAGTCTAGGCCTATGTTATCTTTTTCAAACTTGCTATAATCTTGTATAAAGTTTCCTGAGTGAAGCCTATGTCTCAGAAACTTTTCTAGTCTAGAAGTTTTTCCATTTACCTAACTTTTTGAGGGGAAAAGAATCATAACCAATACACTGGATATTTCTTGTCTCCTATGTGCACAATATTATAAAATATCAGTGAATTAGCAGGCAGATAATATGATTAAGTCTCTGGTTTCATTAAGTATTACTTTACTGAGCCATATCAATTACTTAATTTTTCTGAACTGGTGTAAAAGGAAAAAAACAAAACACTTGAATTGTATAAGGATTAGAGATATAGCCTATATAGTGCCTAAGACAATGCTTGCTGTAGCCTCTCATTTAACTCTTACTACCACCAGACGAGGTAGGTGTTAACTTGTGATCAGCACTGTTAAGAGCTTAGCTCTGAAGTAAAGCTGTCTGAGTTTGGATTCTAGCTCTGCCTGCCATTTACTACCTTTGTGATGGTAGGAAAGCTATTTAACCTCTCTCTCTGCCATTGTTTCCTCATCTGTAAGTTGATAATAGTACCTACCGTCTAAGAATTAAATGAGTTTCTGTTAGGAAGCACTAAGAAAAATGTTTGGCACAAAGTGCCCAGTAAGTGTTAATTATCAGCAACCACAAAACTGTAGATCCAGATGTTGAATACGTGTGTACTCTAAAGAAGTGTCTTGTGTGGGGGAGGGAAAAGTGGATACAGGATTACTTACCGTCCTAATATTTGAATATATTATAAATCTTTAAAAAGGTATTAGCATTAGAATAAAAACACTGACCAGTAGAACAAAAATATTTAGTTCAGTAAAAATACCTAAAAAAAATGTGTATGTAGTGTTTATATATGTGTAAGGAAATAAACAGGAACAGAGTGACATACCTCAATGTACGGTTGGGGGGATGAGAAGAGATAAACCAGAGAACTTATATAGTTATATGCATAGTCCACAGACATGGGCAATAGGATAGTAAAGACCTAGAGGTTGGGTAAAGGCTGGGAGGAGGGGGAAAGTAGGGGAAAATGGGAGATATCGGTAATACTATTAACAATAAAAAATACATTAAAAAAAAAAGAAATAGCCCTAGCTGGTTTGGCTCAGTGGACAGAGCGTTGGCCTGTGGACTGAAGGGTCCCAGGTTTGATTCGGGTCAAGGGCACATCCGTGGGTTGTGGGCTCAATCCCCAGTAGGGGGTGTGCATGAGGCAGCCAATCAATGATTCTCTCTCATCATTGATGTTTCTATCTCTCTCTCTCCCTCTCCCTTCCTCTCTGAAATCAATAGAAATATATTAAAAAGAAAAGAAATAAACAGACACAAGAATTTGGACTATGAAACAGTTTTCAAATAAATTCCAAGTGGAATTTTAATGTAAGTAATGCAATCAAACTAAATAAAAATATGTCCCAACCGAAAATGAACAAAGGACACAGGTAATTTAAAAAATACAACTGCAGCCCTGGCCGGTTGCTCCGGAGTTAGAACGGGTTCGACTCCCAGTCAAGGGCACATACTTCAGTTGTGGTTCATTCCTCATTCCTTGGTCCTGGTTGGGCACAGATGGGAGGCAACCAACCAATGGGTCACTTCTCAGAATGTGTCACCATATTAAGCAGTGCATGCCTGTACATGCCCTTTACTTATTTCTAGGAATTTAACCTCAGGAAATAATGGAGCTGTATGTATAAGGATCTTCACTGAAGCATTATTTATAGAAAAAAAAATTGTGATACATATATTATGATTTCTTACACCTCAATTTCCTCTACTTGTAAAATGTAAATAAAACTCTACCACCATTAATAAAATACTAATACAAAGCAAGAAGCCAAATATTACTTACCTGCTAACCAAGCAGATTAATAAATTCAAAGCAGGAACTCTCTCATCATCTTTGCTGTTCTAAAAAAAAAAAGAAAGAGAAGAAGCCACATGTGGTAGAACTCAAAATGTAGTCTGGTCCCCCCTAATATCTTTGAAACAAATTTTCTTTTGATGCAAAATATGAAAATTGTATTAGATGACAGTAAGAATCACATAGAAATAGGAAAAGTCAAAGAAAAAGGACCAAACTGTAGATTTAATGATCCCTCAAGAAATACCTAAGATCATCTTTTAAAGAAATATATTTAACAGGGAACAGAAGAAAGAATTAAGGGCTCTGAGAATAACATTGGAGAATGTCTTTCCTAGTTCCAAGTAGTGCAACAAAAAAGCCTATGTCTTAACTGGACAGTAATGAAAAAGTATGTAAATATTTTAGAGAACTTATAATTGAGAAGGAGTGAAAATTCTGGCTTCCAGCATTAAGACATACTAGTAAATATTCTAGATCAGGGCTCTCAATTATGATGGAAGTAGTTCCTGAACTATACATTTTAAAAAGTTCACTTCAAGTGTTTGTTAAAATGACAGACCTAAGATACATGGAAAGTAGTCTTACAGAGTATGAAATTTATTTTTATACATTTCAAGGAACAGTCACAATAACCTATTGAGTAATGCTATAACAGACATGTCATATATTAATTCAAACTTGGGACACACGTCCATGATGTTACTGTACTCAATTCTTCCATGTACCAAGCACCATATGGGGCAAAGTGAATAGACATATTAACTGCTAGTAGCACAGAAGATGAAATATCCACAAAATAACTTTAATGAAAGGGAAAATGTGTAAAGTGCCATAGAAAAGATACAAAGTATAACGAAAAAACAGAAGATGGAGAAATTCTTTTTCGTTGTTGGGATCAGGAAATGTATCATAGAAAATGGTGGAATATAAGCCTGGTTGTGAGAAAAATGGTACTTAGATGCAGACTGGAAGAGAGTGAAAGGCTCTTCTGCAGAGGGAATAAAGTCTTGGAACAAAGCATGGGGAATAGTAGTTGGCGAATAGCGAGAATTTGCTTCGAGTACAGGCCATTAAGTTCATTTGAGCCACATCACAATAGTCTAATGAAAGAACTTCGGAATAGTCAAGTTTATATTTTGTGGAGGGGAAGGAGGAATGAAAAAAAATCAGAAGTGGGTTTAATCGGGCTTCAATTTTTATTGTAATGCTACATGTGAGCTAGAGGAAGGGTCTGACGGGAGAAATTCAAATCAATCATTGGGCTAGAGATTGCTAGGTGACTACACCAGTTTCTTATGTCCCCTTACTATGAAGCTCATTTTCAGCCAGGCACACTGCCACCCAGCTAAAAGTAAACATTTCCCATTTTCTTATGGCCATGTGACTAAATTCTGGCCAATGAGCTACATAGCCAGATGTGCTGTGGAACCTCTGGGAAGTCTCTTAAAGAGGATGATGGCCTTCTTTTCTTTCCGACTGCTTATAATGAACTTACAGTGGCCAAGGCTCCAGCAGCCATCTGGATCTTGAGGTGAGCTGAGGATGAAAGCCACACATGGCAGAACTCAAAGGCCTGGGTTACTGCCATCCTAAATGTGATCAGCCTACCTTCAGCCTTTCTTTATCGAAGAAAAAGTTCTGTTTTTTGGAGGCTTTTCTATTATGTGACCAAATCTAATCCTGACTGATAAAATATTCCATGTTTTCTTATTTCATTGGAATCTTTTATCACCATATATTGCAACTTACCACTAAGAGCCTCACTTCAGAGCATCTTCTTGCAAGTTGCCGAATCAGTGAATGAGCCTCGGGTAATAAAGGTTTTTCAAGACAAGCCAATAAAGCATAAAGCCATCTTCCCTAAATAGAGTTTTAAAAAATAGTAAGTAGGGAAACATTGCATCATCATGTTTTAACTAATTTTTAAAATGTTCAAAGTTGTGTCTGGTTATTTGCTATGAATAATTTCATACATTTAACAGAACATTTAACTGTATAATGTTTGGATATAGATAACAAAGGGTCATCTAGCTAGCCAGGTGATAGCTTTTGTATCTTCTAACTTTAGACACAGAACATTAGATACTTCAAAATATTCTTACCCCCCGAAGAGTTGATTTCAGAGATTATTATTACAATTATAGTCCCAAATCATAGGTAGAAAACTGCATTAAGATGTGTATAAAACCTTGAAAAATTAAGATACATTTTTCCTTTGCCTTCTATAGACAGATATACAAATCATACTATAATTTTTTTTGCCTGCAGAAATGTACTTTATTTTATTATTTTCTTCATGCTCACCCAAGGAGTGAGTATATTTTTTCCATTGATTTTCAGAGAGAGTGGAAGGGAGGGAGGAGGAGGAGAGAGAAAGACATCGATGCGAGAGAGACACATCAGTTGGTTGCTTCCCACATGTGCCCTGACCAGGGCCGCCGGACCAGAACCAGGGATTGAACCTGCAACCAAGGTACTACATGCCCTTCATCAGGAACCAAACCTGAGACCCTTTGGTCCGCTCATATTATAATTTTATAACTTTGTCCCCTGGGTCTATACAAAGGAACTATATTCTAGATGAAGCAATGTTTTGATACTTCTATAAATGCCATGCAAGCTAAATTTATTCCCATCCCATTTTAAAATGGGTTTTTCTTTTTAATTACAAAAATAATAATACTAAATGCAGAAAAACTAAAGAATACAAAATGCACAAAGAAAAAATGAACCTGAAATCCCACCATCTAGATAAACTTTCTGCTACTTTTGAAAATGTCCACCTTTATCCCTAGTTGGTTTGGCTTCCATAGTTAGAGTGTTGGCCCGAAGGTTGAAGGGTCTCTGATTCGATTCCAGTCAAGGGCACATACCTCAGTTACAGGCTCCATCCCTAGTCCCAGTCAGGCACGTGCAGGAGGCAAACAATCAATGTGTCTCTCTTACATCGATGTTTCTGTCTCTCTGTCTCTCCCCTTCTCTTCCACTCTCTCTAAAAATCAATGGAAAAAATATCCTTGGGTGAGGGTTAACAAAATAAATAAATAAAAATGTTCACCTTTTCCTATGAAAACACACAGCTTTAAAAAATAAAGTTTCATGCCCTAGCTGGTTTGGCTCAGTGGATAGAGCGTCAGCTGGTGGACAGAAGGATCCCGGGTTCGATTCTGGTCAAGGGCACATGCCCGGGTTGCGGGCTCGATTCCCAGTACGGGGTGTGCAGGAGGCAGCCGATCAATGATTCTCTTTCATCATTGATGTTTCTATCTCTTTCTCCCTTTCTCTGAAATCAATAAAAATATATTAAAAAAATAAGGCTACATTTCTAAAAAAACTATTAAGACAAGTCAATACCAAGTAATACCAAGTAAAGAAGTTTTAGAAAGGTTCCTTTTCCCTTTTGCTAGTTTATATGGTTTTTACTTTAAACACTGATATTCTCAATACTAGAGTGCTGATGATATGGTTATTTGGATAGGGGAACTGAACACTATTGATTTAAGAGACATATTACTCAAAATAAGACTCAAAAGATTAATCCGGTTAAAAGTTAGTAAATCATTTGTCAATGGCTCAAAAATACTTTAATGGTTTCTCTGGCAAATATAGCTACACTTTTTGGTAATATGCTTTCACTAATTAACAGAAGAAGCCAAACTTATCACCCTCTAGTAATCTTTATAAGTTTTTTAAAAAATCTTACAACAGCCCTGGCTGGCGTGGCTCAGTTGGTTGGGTGTCGTCCCACGCACGGAAAGGTTACGGGTTTGATTCCGGCCCATGTTGGGGGCTTGATCCCCGGTTGGGGATGTGCAGGGGGCAGCCCATCGATGTTTCGCTCTGGCATGGATGTTTGTTTCTCTCTCCCCCCCTCTCCCTTTCTCTCTCTAAAATATCAATAAAAATATTTTTTAAAATCTTACAACAAAGTTAAAAAATAAATATTAAAGGAAGAGAAGGAAAACAGATAAGTAATACAGACAAGAGGTCATTATCAGACAGAAGGAAACGGTATAAAATTTAAAGTTCAATATCTAGATTTAAAGTTCAATATCTAGATTTCAATGAAAAAGTAGCCTAAGAATATGAGCAAAGGATAGCTAATGTACCAGTGCGTGGAAAAAACATCCTGTTTCACTGGTATTGAAAGAAATGTAAATTACATAGACTCTAAAGTACTACTATAAACTCACCAAATTTGAAACACACAGATTACAAAATGACAGATTGAACCATCATATGGAATTATTGATAATCAAAGGTTTTTAACTTCTAAAAAAATGGTTATTTCATATGGTTCAACTTAAACTAAGGTTGCAGGGAAGAGAACTAACTTTAAGCACCCATAACTGATGCATTATAAACTCATTCATTTCTTTTGGAAAGTAATCTGGTGGAATGTAACAAAGGCTGGATTCAATAATTCTACTCTAAAAATAGCCTAGGAAATTACGATACGTTTATATTTTAGCCATGATTGCAAAATATAAGGAAGAATCCAAATGGCCAATAATGAATCAATGTAGATTATGAGATATTAAGACAATGGTGCTTATGTGAATTACATTATCATACAGAAATACATATCTGAAATGTAGCTATAAAAACACACACATATAATATATACACACATATGTATACATACACACACATTAATTATAACTATGTAAAAGACACCTAGGACCACTGAATCAGAAACTGATTTTAAACATGAATATTTTTTCCTTTAAAAAGTACACGTTATATAGTAGAGATTTAAAAGAAAGGAAATAGCCCAAGCCGGTGTTTCTTAGTGGTTAGGGCATTGACCTGGGCACCAAAGGGTCATGGGTTTGATTTCCAGTCAAGGGCATGTACCTCGGCTGCAGGTTTATTCCCCAGCCCCACTTGGAGTGCATGCAGGAGGCAACCAGTCTCTCTCTCTCTTTTTCTTCACTCCTTCCACCTTCCTTCCCTTCCACTCTCTAAAAATCAATGGAAAACATATCCTCGGTGAGGATTAACAAAAAAATAATAAATAAAAATAAAGGAAAAGAAATATAAAAACTTAAAATGAAAAATCTAGTGATAAAGAATATGGTCATGACCTTGCAGAATGCTCAGTGGTCAGAACATCGGCCTGTGCACTGAAGGGGCTCAGGTTTCATTCCCAGTCAAGGGCAAGGGCTCATACGTGGGTTTCGGGTTCACTCTCTGCCCCTGGTTGGAGCATGTGCGGGAGAAAACCAGTCAATGTGTCTCTCTCACATTGATGTTTCTCTCTCTCCCCACTTCTCTCTCCCTTCTGCTCTCTCTGAAAAACAATGGAAAATATCCTCTAGTGAGGAGTAACAAAAACAAAAAAAAAAGAATATGGCCATTATACTTATGGAAGAGACTTTTCTAAGCCACTTTCACTTGGCTGAATGGCAGGCTGGGAAACTTACACACGGTACCGCAACGCTGGTTTACCGTTTCTCCCCGAAGACGATAAGCTTCTGGAGGGCAGAGATTGTATCTTATGCTTTGACAGGAAGCTTTGGAGCCTCAAATATACTCTTTTTAAATATGACTTTTTTTTTCTTTTTCTTTTTCGAGAGGAAGGGAGAGGGATACAGAGATGGAAACACTGATGATAGGGAAATAATTGCTTGCCTCCTGCACACTCCCCACTGGGGATCAAGACAGCCACCCAGGCATGTGCCCTGACCAGGATTGGTTCATGAGTTGAAGCTCCACCACTGAGCCATATCAGCCAGGCTCAGATATATTTCTTTGCTGATATCCTCAACTGTGAAAAATATTTGTTTCTAAAAATTAAATCTATCTTCAGATGATAAAACTTAACAGGGGATTAAGTAGATAATTTATATAATGTCCACCAAATTTACCCCATTTTGAAGGTTAAAAAAATTATATTGAAGGAAATTCCATATGGTGGTTCAATCTATCATTTTGTAATCTGTATTTTTCAGATTTAGTGAAGGTTAAAAAAAAAAAAGAGCTGTGAATATGAAGCAATAAAATAGAGGGGCAGTGTAGCATAGTTGCTAAAGTATATAGTCAGGTTGCGTAGGCATAATCTCAGTTCTGCCAGTTATAATCTCTATGACCTTAAGCGAGTTACTGATCCCTATCTTCTCTAGTTTCCTATCTATTAAATGGAAATAATAATAGTGATAGGTTATTAGAGGATTCAAGGAGTTATTACATACAAAGTCCTTAGAACATATCTGGCACAAAGTGCTATTGTTGTTGTTATTTCTGACATGCTTTTGTGAGTTAATTTCAATGAGATTTTAGAAAATGCATTTCAAACTTCTTTAAGCCAGTACCACTCAAAATGGGGGTCTGCAGATTGGTTGCTAATTCGTTACTGGTCTGCAACGCGATAAGCAGTCTGTCCCAGGATAAAAATCAACTGCTCAGTAAACATTTTCCCCCCAAAGCAAGACTTTCTCAATGAAGAAAGTAGTATGTTGATTTATATTCTAGTGTAAGTTTCTTGTTTCACTGCAAACAAACATAGTTTGCATTATACAGAGGTATAAAAAATATATATAATACATACATATCTATAAATACTGTAGAGTATATAATTTTGTCTGAATTATGAAAATGAAAAGATGTAACACTACCAATTCTGGAGTAAAGTCTCTTTCTCCAAACCAATTACTCAGATATTCCAAGACACTGGTTACTGTTGCCTAAAAAAAGGGCGGAGGAGGTGGAAGAATTGCATTAGTAGTAAAACATTGACAAGTTCAAAATGAGTTTCATTAAGTTAGTTAGACAGCAACTCTGATATTTAAAGTGGCCTCGGTCTTTAGACTTTCAGAGAAAACTGTGGCTTTATGTAGTAATTTGATTAGATGGCTCACTAAGTGAGAAGAGGCTTTTAAGATAAATATTCTTACACACTTTCAAGTATCAATACCATGATTTAAATCCTAGTATTTAGTTTGTAACTACTAATTTAGTTTATTACTACTTCAAAAATTCCATGTGCTCTTAAAAAAAGTCTTTGCATAAATACCTTTATTTATTTTCATTGAAACATTGTACAAATTGGAACAGAAAGTTAGCTAGAGAAAGATCTGCTTTAAAACTATACAGACAGAATGTGTCAAATTGTTAAAAATATTATCTGGCTTATTTTTAGTTGGACACTTAAAAACATTCTGATGGAATTTAGTGTGACCACTATGGTATCTTAATGTAAATGATCAATTAAGTGAAACTGTCAGCCAGTAAAATTAAGACAGAGTATAAAAATTTCCTCTTACAAGGATATCCAATGTTATGTTAAGACAAAACAAACTCTTTTGGTGGTCTTTAAATGGAGAGTCACTAGTCCTAAAAGTCTGAAGAAACAAAATCCATCTTTCTCCATTTTATCCAAGAAATGTATGTAGTGGTTAAGTTTTGGGGGAGTCAAAAGTTATATGTGGATTTTCAACTGCAGTGGGTCAGTGTTCCTAACCCCAGTACTATTCAAGGGTCAACTGTATTTTATTTGTAATAGAATACACATGCTATCTGAAATTAGAAATAGCAATCTAACCTTCGTATTTACTTTAAACCCCAGAATCTAAGACTAACAACTGAAATATACACAATTAAATAGTTTAGCACCATGATTAAGAGTGTCAGTTCTAGAATTAGATCACTCTGATATTGAATACCAGTGCTGCCATTAAAACTTGCTGAAAAAAATACCTGCAAGTTACTTAAGCGTTAATTTTGTTTCCTCTTCTCTAAAAAGGGGATACGTATTAATAATAACTCCCTATACAGGGTGGCATTAAGGATTAAATAAGAAATGTTAAAGAATTTAGAAAACACACACAAGAGTTTAGGACAGGATTTTGCATAAATATTCAGTAAATGTATTCAAATACTTTCACTCACATCACAAACAAAAGAATGCATATATCCTTAGTAGATAGACTTTACCTGATTCATTCTGCTAACAATACTAAGCAAGGGAGGAAAACCAATCTGAAAGAAAAATGAGATTGAAATTTACTAAATAGTATTATGAGGGATTTAATTTTTTTTCAAACTGGTGAATTTTTCATCACACTATTACTTAGAAACAAAAAATGGCTATAAAACACAATTCCTTTATTGCCTATTACAATAAAATGTTCCATGAAGTATTACATTGGTAATGCCCCCCTCAAATGATGTCTTGAAATCTGAATATGTAAATTTAAAAATGATTTCCATAATTAAAATGTTAAAGTATGAAAATTTTTAAAAAGATACTGATATTATTAATACTATTACATAAATATGTGATACAAACTTTTTTTTGGTTAATCCTCATCTGAGGATACTTTTTTCCACTGATTTTTTAGAGGGTATGGAAGGGAGGGGGAGAGACAGAAAGAAACATTGATGTCAGAGACACATCGATTGGTTGCCTCCCTCATGCCCTGACAAGGGCTGGGGACTAGGGGCCAGGGACTGGGCCTGCAACTGGGGTACGTGGCCTTGACTGTGCCCTTGACCGGAATTGAACCCTCAACCCTTCTGTCCACAGGCCAACACTCTAACCACTGAGCAACTGGCCAGGGCTGATACAATCTTTTAAAAAAGCTTCAGCTAGCCTTGCCCGGTATGATTTGGTTGGAGCGTTGTCCAATTCACTAAAAGGTGGCCGGTTCAATTCCCAGTCAAGGCACATACCCAGGTTGCAGGTTCCATCCGCGGTTGGGGCACATGCGGGAAGCAACCAATCAATGTTTTTCTCTCTCAAAATCAATTTAAAAAAACTCACAAATAAATAGTTCATTGAGTATTTAAAAAGAATCTTCAGCTAAAGCTAATATTTTCAAGAATAAAGGGCACTTGAATTAGAATGACTTTTTTCAAACCTAATCTGATTCAATTTTTTAAATTCTACTTTGCAGCTTAATGCTGGGAGCATTGATTATGAAAATAGCATTGACCTGTGAGAAACTTAAGAGGACATGCGCCCAGCCAGTGTTGCTCAGTGGTTGAGCATCAACCTATGAACCAGGAGGTTAAGGTTCAATTTCTGGTTAGGGCACATGTCTAGGCTGTGAGCCCAATACCCAGTGTGGGGCGTGCAGGAGGCAGCCCCACACTGGGTATATATATATATATTTAAAAAAAAAAAAAAATAGGACAGGCAATAAACTCTTACATCTTTAAGTGGTTCTTTCACATGGTATATGTTACTTGTATGTATTTTGTAATAACAAGCAAAATAAATAAATTTTAATTCTTTATTAAATTAAAACACATTTTTAAAATGTAACATACATTAGGGATTATGCAAAAGAATAGGTTGGCCCTAGCCAGTCTAGTTCAGTAGATAAGAGTGTTGGCCTGCGGACTGAAGGGTTTTGGGTTCAATTCTGGTTGCATGCTTGATCCCCAGTGAGGGCATGCAGGAGACGGCCGATCAGATTCTCAGCATTGATATTTCTATCTTTCTCTCCTTCTCCCACCCTCTCTGAAATCAATAAAAATATATTTAAAAAAAAGAAAAAAGAGTAAGTTGTATAAGAAACAGTGCCAAATTAGTTCCCCTGGCGATCTGAATCTATTTTTCACTCTCATCATATATCACATATATAAGAATACCTGTTTTCCCAGCCCTATCAACACAGTATATCAAGCTTTCTTTGCCAATATATCACCTGAAAAAATTGCAGCTCAATATGGTTACAAGTTACATTTATATTACAAGTGAGTTTGTGCATCTTCTCGTATAAGAACAATTTGTATTTCCTTTCTGTGAGGTCTATTTGTATTATGGGACTATTATTTGTTTTTAATCAGGTTCTCAGTCTTTTTAGTGATTTTTGGAGCTTTTCCATTTGGGGATAAATTAGTTTTAAATAGGAAAAACACAATGTGGTACCATGTAGGACACAATAAATACTTATTCAACAGAACAGAACAACATAATATAGAGTTAGTAGTAATGCTGACGTATGCAGAGGGTTCCATAGAAACATCTGCAAATTTGAGGGCAGGTGAATCCTGAAGGACAAGAAAAAGTTGTCCACATAATTTATGAAGCTTTATGAAATTTAAATATACTCTCAGCATTCCATCTCCAGAATATGCAATTTACTAAGGATTTTTAGAACATCCCTCATCATGTCGTATGTTTTTCTGTTTCCCTGCCACTAGTCACTAATTGTTCGAGCCATGACTAACAATTTTTTAAAGATCCTATCTAATTAAAACATTAATGATATGAAGCCAACCTAAAAAATATCACAGTACGTTGTTTCAGAAACTGGGATACCAATTTTTAAATTAAAGAGGTAATACACTAAGTCAGGGGTTGGCAAACATTTTCTGTAAATCGCCAAACTAAATATTTTAGGCTTTGCAGGCCAAACACTGTCTTAGTCACATATTATGTTTGTTTTTTTATAACCCTTAAAAAATATAAAAACCATTCTTAGCTCATGAGCTGTATAAAAAATAGGTTGTGGACTGGACTTGGACTAGGCTGCAGCTTGCTGATGATGGCCCACTGGCATGACACCGTGGTTGAGCATCTACCAATGAACCAGGAATTGTCCCGAATGGGGCACATGCCTGGGTTGCGGTTCTATTCCCAGTGTAGGGTATGTGGGAGGCATCCGATCAATGACTCTCTCTCAACATTGATGATTCTCTCTCCCTTCCTCTCTGAAATCAATAAAAATATATATATTAAAAAAAAAAAGATGCACTAGAACTAGAATACTTTGTTGTTTTAACTACTTATCACCTACTTGTATATAATCTATTCCAGGACTTTCATTTTTAGCTGGTCCAACAGCCCCTTCAGAACATAACCTTTCACCCAGACAAAATTTTTTCCAGCCTTCTTCATCTTCAGATTTTGGCTAAAAGAAAAAAAAATAAATTTACTTATTTCTATGTATTGCTAAAATACAGAACTGTGAAAAAAGAAATAAGAATCCTCCATAGTTCCACCACATCAACACAAAAATATGGTACCTGTTATGGATTGAATTATGTCCCTCCCCAAATTCAAATGTTGAAAACTTAATCCCCAGTACCTCAGGATGTGACTATACTTGGAGACAGGGCCTTTATAGAGGTGATTTAGGTAAATTGCAGAATGGGCCCAAATCCAATCTCACTGTTGTCCTTGCAAGAAGAGGAAATTTGGACACACAGCGAGACACTGGGGATGTGTGTGCACAGAGGAAAGACTATGCAAACATACAATGAGAAGACAGCATATGCAAGCCAAAGAGCTCTAGAGGCCTTGAGAGAAACCAAACCTACTGACACCTTGATATTAGATTTCTAACCTAATGAGAAAGTAAATTACTATTGGTTAAGCTATCTAGTTTGTGGTATTTTGCTATGGGGGCTCTAGCAAACTACTACAGTGCCCAACTGGTCATACCATTTGAGGGACATTTTTACTTTGGAGCACACTTTAATGGACACTAACAAGCAAGGGAATGCTCAAAAAAGGATGATAAACATGGAAACTGGTGTGAAAAAAAATACACATTAAGAATGCTAACAAGAGCGCTGGCCAGTGTGGCTCAGTTAGTTGAGTGTCATCCCATGCACTGAGAGGCGCCAGTTTGATTCCGTCAGGGAACATACCAGGATTTTGGATTGATTCCCAGTAGGGGGCATGCAGGAGACAGCCAATCAATGTTTCTTGATGTTTCTCTCTCTCATCGATGTTTCTCTCTCCCTCTCCCTTCCTCTCTCTCTCTAAAAATCAATAAAAACATATTTAGAAAGAAAAAAAAAAAGAATGCGACAGGAACGAAAGATGTTTTTTCCAGGGAAGGAGACATGATTATATATCTCACATACTTGATGGGCTGTCTAATCAAAGAAAAAATAGATTTATTTTATATTGCCAGATGGAAAAAGCAGGATCAGTGGGGAGCACTCAGCCAAATACAACTATCCTAATAAAACTATCTTTATTTGTATACATTACTTTGCACCTTACTTTGCAAAGGTGTGGTATTCCCCCCTGATGACAAATAGTTTTCATTAAATTCTCAGGATGAATATGAAACCCCTAAAAGGTTAAAACCTATTGTCCTAAAACAATGTTATCCACCTTTCTCCATTAGGTTAGAGATTATTTCTGCTGCAGGTAGCACTAAATACCCTGATTAAATGCTAGAGGCCCGGTGCATAAAATTTGTGCACGGATATGGTCCAGTCCCTAGGCCTGGCCTGCGATCAGGGCCATCTTCCCCAGCTGCCAGCCCCACCCCCTGCCGCCACCCACCTCCGGTTCCCTGTTCACCATGGGGCGATCAGAGCCTGACAGCCCCCACCACTGGTTGCCCCCCCAGTGTGTGGGACGACTGGCGGGGCGGGGGCCTTGGCCTGACATTGCCTGCGCCACCACCAGCCACCCTGGGTTCCCTATTCACCATTAGGCAATGGGAGCCTGCCGGCCAGGAAAAGAGACCGAGAGGTGTTCAGTGCACCTCATAGTGACTGGTTGAGCGGTCATTCTGGTCGTTTTGCTGTTAGGGTAAATTTGCATATTACCCTTTTATTATATAGGATAATAGGTGCTTAATAAATGATTGGATTAATCAATAAATAAATGTTTATATATATGTATATACTAGAGGCCCAGTGCATGGATTCGTGCACCAGTGGGGTCCCTTGGCCTGGCCGGCACCCTCTCATAATCTGGGATCCCTTGGGGGATGTCGGGGAGCCAGTTTTGGGACCCCTCAGGGGATGTCAGGGTCCGTTCCCCACAGGCCAGGCTGAAGGACCCCACTGGTGCACGTTCGGGTCTGGGGAGGGAGGGTACCAGGGCGTGTCCAGGCAATCTCGCCCAGTCTCAATCGGATGGACCCCAGCAGCAAGCTAACCTACCAGTCAGAGAGTCTGCCCGCTGGTGGTCAGTGTGCATCATAGTGACTGGTTGAACAATCCAACAAATGGTTGGATACTTAGCATATTAGGCTTTTATTATATAGGATATTTTAAATATTATTTTTATTGATTTCCAGAGGAAGGAAGAGAGAGAGATATAGAAACCTCAATGATGAGAGAGAATCATTGATTGGCTGCCTCTTGCACGCTCCCTACTGGGGATCGAGCCCACAACTCAGGCATGTGCCCTGACCTGGAATCAAACCTGGGATCTTTCAGTCCACAGGCTGACGCTCTCGCCACTGAGCCAAACCGGCTAGGGCTAAATGTTTATATTTACATAGTTGACACCAGAGTGTTTTATGATTTTCATGTTTATATTTTCCACGATGAACCTCTTATCTATATATATAATATATATAAAAGCCTAAGTGACCAAACGACCAGTCGCTATGATGCGCACTGACCACTAGGGGGCAGACACTCAATACAAAAGCTGCCCCCTGGTGGTCAGTGCACTCCCACAGCGGGAGCACCGCTGACCGACAGGTGCCAGACATCAGGCTCATGGCTGGCAAGCGCAGCTGCGGTAGCAGGAGCCTCTCCTGCCTCCATGACAGCGCTACTGAATGGCAGTGGCAGCAGGCGCAGCGGGGCTGGGATGAGCGGGAGCAGTGTGGCACCCAGCCTGGGCTCGGGCTCCTCCCCAGCCGCCTGCCACTTTGTGCATTACTACACCCCTCAGGGGATGTCAGGCTGCTGGTTTCAACCCAATCCCCACAGGCCTGGCCAGATTGCGAGAGGGCGCAGGCCAGGTTGAGTGACCCCACTGGTGCACGAATTCGTGCACCAGGCCTCTAGTTGTTACATAATATTCCTGTGTTGGTGGATCATAATTTATTGAATCAATTATGTTAGGCCATTTCATTTTTTAAAAAATTATCTACACTAATAAAAGAGAAACATGCAAATTGGTGTCACTCTGCTACACCCACCAGCCAATCAAATGAGTATGCAAATTAATCCAACAAAGATGGTGGTTAATTTGCATATGCAGGCGCAGAGCGAAGACTGAAGGCAACGTAGAAGGAAGCCAAGCGCTGTAGAAGGGAGCGAAGCTGCAGAGAAGCAAGCGGGGGCGGCAGAGGTGGGAGGGAAGCAAGCGGGGGTGGCGGAAGCGGAAGGGAAGCAAGCAGGGCGGCGGAGGCAGGAGGGAAGCAAGTGGGGCAGCAGATGCAGGAGCAAAGCCTCGGCAGATTTTGCTCCCTTCTCTGCTTCCCTCGGGCCGCAGGAAGCCCTATTCTTGCAGGAATCTTCCTGCAACGGGCCTCTAGTATCATCATAATGTTCCTGATGTGGTTTCATTTTTGAATTAGTAAGCATGTACACAAAGTCCTTACTCTGAGTAAGAAAAAAAATAATGTATCTGCCTACCTACCCCCACCTCCTTTTTTGCTATGAGGCCTCACAGCATAGAGAAAGGCTTTAGAGACAAAGCTCAGTGGCTCACAGCTATACCCTTTTTAAAAAAGTTAACTATTTAAATCAAAACCATCTTTATTATTTACAGAGCAGCCTGCCTTCAGGGACACTGACATGCGTGTCCCTAGAGGGCAGAACAATATTTACATGGGGGTCAGGAAGGTCCCAGCTATATCTTTGATGAGTTAAATGGTCTTGGGCAAGTGATGTAAGTTCTTTCACTAATTTTTAAGAGAGAGCTTCCAACTGGTATGGAGAGGCCATATATTGAATCTCAGCTTTCAGCTGGTAGTCTCAGGAAGATTATGCAAGTGGCTGCCTCCATTTACACCAATATGTCACCATGTAAAAGATGTTAGGAAGAACTACCTCGAAGCTGCTTCTAAAATTTGAAATCTATGAACAAACTAAAACTGAGCAAAATTATGTGTATAGGTGCATTTTGTCCCTCTGAAGATTAACAGCTTTCATTTGATTCTCAGGAAAAATATGAGACTCCCTAAAAGGTTAAAAGTATTGCCCCGGTGTACATCTGAAATTAATATAATATCGTATGTCAACTATACTTGAAATATAGATTTTTAAAAAAGGGGGGAAGCCCAGCTGGTGTGGCTCAGTGGTTGAGCATCAACCTATGAACCAGGAGGTCACAGTTCAATTCCCAGTAAGGGCACATGTCTGGGATGCGGGCTCAATCCCCAGTATGGGGCGTGCAGGAGGCAGCCTATGGATGATTCTCTCTCATCATTGATGTTTCTATCTATCTCTCCCTCTCCCTTCTATGAAATCAATAAAAATGTATTTTTTTTAAAAAAAAAGAGGGGGGGAATATACGAAGTAAAAATTAAAAACCTTTCACAGAAAAGAAAAGTATTGCCTTGGAACAATGTATCTATCTCTTCCCCAACTACCTTTTTTATTTGGTAGTCCAGATATATCATATCTACTGAGGAGCTTAAGTCATTCCTGGGCTGTCATTCCCTCACACTGCAGAGGACATCTTTCCCACATAGACATCTGCCTTGTCTGGGGGAAGACAGTTGACATACCCAATTAGAAAACACCCTGCCCTGAGAATACACAAAAGATTAAAAGTAACAATTAGCACCCTAACTGGTTTGGCTCAGTGGATAGTGTGTCAGCCTGAGGACTCAAGGGTCCCAGGTTCGATTCTGGTCAAGGGCATGTACCTTGGGTGTGGGCACATCCCCAGTGGGGAGTGTGCAGGAGGCAGCTGATCGATGTTTCTAACTCTCTATCCCTCTCCCTTCCTCTCTGTAAAAAAAAATCAATAAAATATATTAAAAAAAAAGAGTAACAATTAGCTTCCAGGCTGAAGCAACTGCCCCACCCTGTTGAAAAAACTCTCGACAGATCTGAGGATGATTGCCTCGGGGCAATTCAAATTGGAATCCTATTAATCTGTAGATAGAGACAATTTCTGGAGGCTTTGAGTCTTTGCCTGATCCAATTAGTTAGAAACAGCCTTTAACACTGTCCTGCACTACAGATTGAGAGGTGTAGAGGATCTACCGAAAACATAGTCACAAACCCAATCAAAATGAGGAAACAAAGAAACAACCCTCAAATGAAAGAACTGGAGAATTCCCCAGAAGAAGAGATAAATGAAGCAGAGATAAGAAATTTCTCTGAAACAGAGTTCAGAGTAATGATGTTAAAAATGCTCAACAGTATGAAAAAAGACATAGTAACTATGAAAAATGAACAGTCTGAGATAAAGAATGACATAACACAAATAAAGAACACATTGGAAGGAATACACAGCAGATTAGGGGAAGCTGAAGATCGAATCAGTGAATCAGAAGACAGAGTTGAGAATATCACTCAATAAGAAAACCAGAAAGAAAAAAATAATTAAAAAACAGGTGGGCAGTTTAAGGGAACTGTGGGACAATGTGAAACGTAACAATATTAGAATAGTAGATGTGCCAGAAGAGGCAGAAAGGGAGAAAAGAATAAAGTGTTTGAAGAAATAATGGTAGAAAACTTCCCTAACCTGGAAAGGGAAAAATCACACAAGTTCAGGAGGCGTAGAGAACCCCAACAAGAAGAACCCAAACAGACCCATACGTAAACATATCCTAATTAAAATGCCAAAAATTAAAGGCAAAGAGTGAATCTTAAAGGCAGCAAGAGAAAAGAAAACTGTTGCCTGCAAAGGAGTTCCCATAAGGCTGACACCTGATTTCTCATCAGAAACACGCCCTGACTGGTTTGGCTCAGTGGATAGAGCGTCAGCCTGCGGACTGAAAGGTCCCAGGTTCGATTTCGGTCAAGGGCATGTACCTTGGTTGCTGGCACATCCCCAGTGGGGGGTGTGCAGGAGGCAGCTGATCAATGTTTCTCTCTCATCGATGTTTGACTCTCTATCTCTCTCCCTTCCTCTCTGTAAGAAATCAATAAACTATATTTAAAAAAAAGAAAAGAAAAAGAAACTCTAAAGGCCAGAAGGGAATGGTATGAAGTACTCAAGGTAATGGAAAGGATCTGAGACCAAGACTACTATATCCAGCAAGGCTATCATTCAAAATAGACAGTCAAATAAAGAGCTTCCCAGACAAAAAAAGGCTAAAGGAGTTCATCACCACCATGCCAGCATTAGAAGAAATGCTAAAGGGATTGCTGTAAGGGATTGCTGAGAAAAAGAAACACAGAGAGAAACCTAGCCATACAGAATTAAAATGGCTATAAATAAGTACCTCTCAATAATAGCCCTAAATGTAAATGGATTAAATGCTCCAATCAAAAGGTGTAGGGTAGCTGAATAGATACAAAAACATGACCCAACTATATGCTGTCTACCAGAAACCCACCTCAAAACAAAAGACACACACACAGGATGAAAGTGAAGGGCCGGAAAAAATTTTTCCATGCAAATGGAAAAGAAAAAAAAGCTGGAGTAGCAATACTCATATCTGACAAAATAGACTTTAAAAGCATCATGCTAAGCAAAGTAAGCAAGTAGGAGAAAGATAAATATCATATGATCTCACTCATTTGTGGAATATAAACTGATGAACAAAAATAGAGCCAGAGGGGGAAAAATATTCTAGAATACAACAGAAGTAATCCTGTTATTTGCAGATATTTACTATTTCCTACAACTTCTGTGCTATCATACTATGTTAGTAGTTTTGGCAATATTATCATACTTAAAATTCTTTTATTCTTGAAATATTAATGTTCATTGCATGTAATATTATTATATGTAAGACCATTTTTCTTGAATAACGTGTTTATTGCATGTAACATTATCATATTTAAAATTGTTTTTCTTGAAGATATTAATGTTTACTGCATGTAACATTATATTTAAGATCGTTTTTCTTAAAAGATTAAGGTTTATTGCATGTAACATTATTATATTTAAAATCGTTTTTCTTGAAATAAAAAAAAAACCTGAAAAAAATCAATGGAAATAATATCCTCGGGTGAGGATTATCAATAACAAAATAAAGAACTTTGTGGAGGCCTAACAATTACCTATCTAAAATCTTTCAAAATGCTTTGGATCAAAATGGATATAAAATAACAACTTGCATTACTGATTTTAGACTTTTAAGGCCACTAATATAATGGAATTGTTACTATTAAGGGCAGATGGGAAAAAAAAGAAAGTAATATGGACTAAGTAAATGAATCTTTAAAGACTGGAAGTAAATATGAACTATTTCAAATAAGTATACACTGTACAACGTAAACAGAGAAACTTACATACCATGGTCACATTACTATCCAACTGTTGTGATTTCCAGTGACTTCTATGTCTGTTCACACTCTATAGGAAGAAGAGTTAGGCAGTGAGCTTCAGAGAAGGATGATTAAAAATAAATCAATTGCTGTACAACATTCTAATAATCCTAAAACTTCAAAAATATGTTTCAAACTATACTATGTCTAATGATTATAATAATTTGGTTATTGATTCATAAATACTCTTTTCTTTATAGTTCAGAATAAAAAATCTTATTTTTTGAACTAAAGTCTAAATGCAGAAATAAATGAGAGATGTAATTTGATTAAATAATTAAAGTACACCTACCTGTCGAATAGTTGAAAATTGTGCCACTTGTTGCTGTTGCCACTGAAGTGTGGGGGAATAGCCTTGAGGAGCTGGTTGGCATCCTGAAAGCTAGAGATCAGTTTGTAATTGTTAGAATCAATGCTAGTGTTGTAACTAGCATCTCAGGCCTCTGAGAAGTAAAATCAACATGAACATTGAATAATACAGTAAATGATTAAGACTATATAAAAAATGATTAAGACTATATACAAAAAAGTAGATAGGCATTTCACTTTACTATTTATGTCTAAGTTTAAAGTGTTAGGAGCCCTGGCCCATGTGGCTCAGTTGGTTGAGTTTCATCCCATGAAACAAAAGATTGCTGGTTTGATTCCTGGTCAGGGCACATGCCCAATTTGTGGGTTCTATCCCCGGTTAGGGTATATGCAACCGATCAGTGTTTCTCTCTCTCCCTCTCCCTCTAAAATAAATAAAAACATTATTTTTAAAAAATAAAATGTTAGGAAAAGATCCTTATTTAGTCACTTTAATAAAAGCAATCTGGAAAAGAAAAGGAAGCAAGAGCAACTAAGATGGCGGCATAGGTAAACACCGGGAAATTATTGCCTCACACAACAATTGAAAATTACCCCAAAGGACTGAGCAAACATCATCCAGAACAACAGGAAGGCTGGCTGAGTGTAAATTCCACAACTAGAAGGAAAGAAAAGCACGCTGAGAGCCAGAGGCGCTGCGGAGGTGAAGTGCAGAGGTACGGCGGCGCGCGCGCGCGAGGAAAGGGGGTGGCGCCTGAGGACGCGGCTGTCTTTTTGAATCACAAACTCCCGACGGCTCTGAACTCCGGTTCCGGGAAGTCTCTGGGGACCCAGGTCTCATACGGGGAGAAGCTGGTCTGTCCAGCAGCGAGCGAACTTGAGGGCGGCTTTCCCTCAGAGGTGCTTGCAGCCGTTACCGGAACACTGAGACGCGCGACTCCGGGCGGAGAATCGGCCATGGCCGCTTTCTCCGCCCTCTGACTCCCTGAGACCCCGCCCCACCCAGGCTGCGGCAGAGGCTTTTGCATGTGAATGTACCTAACTGCAGCCGAACCAGGCAGACCTGGAACTTCCAAGAGAAGGCCCAAGGCCCCGCAGCGGCTTGCATTGCTTCACAGCTGAGCCTCTTCGTGGCTCCTGCAGTGTGGCCTCAGGCAGAGGCTGAATTAGCACCTCCTTAGATCCAGGAGCCACTGTACCCAGTGGTCAGAGGGGGTCCATCCAGACTGCAACTCCTCAGATCCATAAGGGACGCACTCAGGGAGCAGACTCAGTGAGCACCAAAGCCCCACTGAAGCAAGTCTTGCCCCAGAAGGGTGTCTTCAGCACAGAAGTTCTCCCACTTTAGACACAGCTGATTCTCACAGCCAATTGGCCTGGAGGTCAATTCCTCCCAGTGATTCTACAACAACCAAGGCACCAAGAGTGCACCAAGAGTGTCCACCCCAGGTAACTGGGGAGGCTGAGCTACTGGGCCCTACAGGACACCTGGCGCACAAGGCCACTCTATCAATACAGGGAAGCTGCCAAAATGCGGAGACAAAGAAACAGGTCACAAATGGCAGAAATGGAGGAAAGCAAACGATTGGATATAGAGTTTAAGGCCACGGTTATAAGGTTTTTCAAGAATTTTATGGAAACCGCCGATAAATTTAATGAATCCCTCAATAAGTATAGGGAGACCATGGAGGACATGAAAAAGGACCAACTAGAAATTAAGCATACACTGACTGAAATAAAGAATAATTTACAGAGATCCAGCAGCAGAAAAGAGGATCCCAAGAATCAAGTCAAAGATTTGAAATACAAAGAAACAAAAAATACCCAACCGAAAAAGAAAAAAGAAAAGAGATTCCAAAAATATGAAGATAGTGTAAGGAACCTCTGGGACAACTTCAAGCGTACCAACATCAGAATTATAGGGGTACCAGAAGGAGAGAGAGGGCAAGATATTGAAAACCTTTTTGAAGAAATAATGACAGAAAACTTCCCCTACCTGCTGAAAGAAATGGACTTACAAGTCCAGGAAGCGCAGAGAACCCCAAACAAAAGGAATCCAAGGAGGACCACACCAAGACACATCATAATTAAAATGCCAAGAGCAAAAGATAAAGAGAGAATCTTAAAAGCAGCAAGAGAAAGACAGTCAGTTACCTACAAGGGAGTACCCATACGACTGTCAGCTGATTTCTCAACAGAAACCATGCAGGCCAGAAGAGAGTGGCAAGAAATATTCAAAGTGATGAATAGCAAGAACCTGCAACCAAGATTACTTTATCCAGCAAAGCTATCATTCAGAATAGAAGGTCAGATAAAGAGCTTCACGGATAAGAAAAAGCTAAAGGAGTTCATCACCACCAAACCAGCATTATATGAAATGCTGAAAGGTATTCTTTAAGAAGAGGAAGAAGAAAAAGGAACTCTTACCATTTGCCACAGCATGGATGGAACTGGAGAGCGGATAAATACCACAGGATCTCACTCATTTGTGGAATATAATGAACAACATAAGCTGATGAACAAGGACTGATCCAGAGACGGAGAGGCATTGATTGGACTGTCGGGACTTGGAGGGAAGGTAGGGGAGGGTGGGGGTAAGGGGGAAAGATCAACCAAAGGACTTATATGCAAGCATATAGGCCTAACCAATGGACATGGACAACGGGGGGGTGAGGGCATGAGCAGGGGTGGGGGGGTGGGGGGTAGAGGGTAACGTGGGGACAAGGACACATATGTAATATCTTAATCAATAAAAAATATATTAAAAAAAAAAGCAATCTGGAATGTTTATAGTTGTAATATCTAAGAAATCTACATGATATGAGCACTAAAGATATAATCTAGTCCTACCTGTCTAGAATAACAGAAGTCTGAAACAAAAAGATATGTCCCAAATAAACAATTTCAGTATAGGCAGAACATACTCAAATAATTTAAGATATTTTATCCTGAAAGGTCCACTTCTATTTCCTAAAACAATATGTAATTCACAATTGATCGCATATTGCCTTGAAATAAAACTTAGTGAAGCCCTAGCCGGTTTGGCTGTGGATAGAGCCAAACTAAAACTTCAGGAGACAGAGACTCGAGAACCAAGATGGCGGCATAGGTTCACGCCGGAGTTTGCTGCCTTGAACAACTACTTCAAAAGTGAAACTAAAAAACGGAAGGGACATCACCCAGAACCACTGGAACGCTGGCTGAGTGGAAGTCCTACAACTAGGAGGAAAGAGAAACGCATACGGACACTCAGAGGAGGCGCAGTGCTGAAGTCAAATTCTGAGGTGTGGAGTGCGCGGAGCGGGCTGGCGGTGGAGGGCGCGGTTGGCGTTTTCAATCGGGAGGGAGTCGCGGACTCTGAGCTCCAGATACAGGCGAGTCTTTAGGGACCCAGACTCAAACGGGAGAAGCGGGACTGTCTGGCTTCGGTCAGAGCAAGTGCAACTTTCTCTCCGAGCTTTGCAGCGGGTGCTGGGACTCAGAGAGGCAGAGCCCCTGGGGACAGGACTGAGAGCCGCCATAACTGCTCTCTCCGGCCCACCCTGTTGATCCTGTGGGACCCGACCCGCCCAAGCCCTGCACAGAGGCATTTGCCGGATAGCCTCAGGCAAAGGCTAGATTAGCACCTCCCCAGAGGACAGAAGTTCTCTCACTGCAGACACAGCTGATTCTCATAGCCACTTGGCCTGGAGGTCAAACCCTCCCTGGTATAAGCTACAACAATCAAGGTTTAACTATAAGACTGCGAACAAAGACCACTAGGGGGTGCACCAAGGAAGCATAACAAAATGCGGAGACAAAGAAACAGGACAAAATTGTCAATGGAAGATATAGAGTTCAGAACCACACTTTTAAGGTCTCTCAAGAACTGTTTAGAAGCCGCCGATAAACTTAATGAGATCTACAAGAAAACTAATGAGACCCTCGATGTTATATTGGGGAACCAACTAGAAATTAAGCACACACAGACTGAAATAACGAATATTATACAGACTCCCGACAGCAGACCAGAGGAGCGCAAGAATCAAGTCAATGATTTGAAATGCGAGGAAGCAAAAAACACCCAACTGGAAAAGCAAAATGAAAAAAGAATCCAAAAATGCGAGGATAGTGTAAGGAGCCTCTGGGACAACTTCAAGCGTACCAACATCAGAATTATAGGGGTGCCAGAAGATGAGAGAGAGCAAGATATTGAAAACCTATTTGAAGAAATAATGACAGAAAACTTCCCCCACCTGGTGAAAGAAATGGACTTACAGGTCCAGGAAGCGCGGAGAACCCCAAACAAAAGGAATCCAAAGAGGACCACACCAAGACACATCATAATTAAAATGCCAAGAGCAAAAGATAAAGAGAGAATCTTAAAAACAGCAAGAGAAAGAAATTCAGTTACCTACAAGGGAATACCCATACGACTGTCAGCTGATTTCTCAACAGAAACTTTGCAAGCCAGAAGGGAGTGGCAAGAAATATTCAAAGTGATGAATACCAAGAACCTGCAACCAAGATTACTTTATCCAGCAAAGCTATCATTCAGAATTGAAGGTCAGATAAAGAGCTTCACAGATAAGGAAAAGCTAAAGGAGTTCATCACCACCAAACCAGGATTATATGAAATGCTGAAAGGTATCCTTTAAGAAGAGGAAAAGAAAGAAAAAGGTAAAGATACAAATTATGAACAACAAATATGCATCTATCAACAAGTGAATCTAAGAATCAAGTGAATAAATAATCTGATGAACAGAATGAACTGGTGATTATAATAGAATCAGGGACATAGAAAGGGAATGGACTGATTATTCTTGGGGGGGAAAGGGGTGTGGGAGATGCGGGAAGAGACTGGACAAAAATCGTGCACCTATGGATGAGGACGGGGGGTGGGGAGTGAGGGCGGAGGGTGGGGTGGGAACTGGGAGGAGGGGAGTTATGGGGGGGGAAAAAAGAGGAACAATTGTAATAATCTGAACAATAAAGATTTAATTTAAAAAAAAAATGAGACAGAAGCTAAAGGGTATGGGGGTTTCTTTGGGGGTATGAAAATGTTCAGAAATTGATTGTGATAATGGTTGCACAACTCTGTGAATAAACACCATTGAATTGAAAAAAAATAAAAAAATAAAATAAAAAAATAAAACTTCAAAAATATGTTTCAAGCCTGTGGACTGAAGGGTCCTGGGTTCAATTCTGGTCAAGGGCACATGCCCAGGTTGCAGGCTCAATCCCCAGTAAGGGGTGTGCAGGAGGCAGGCAATCAATGAGTCTCTCTCATCATTGATGTTTCTCTCTCTCTCCCCCTCTCCCTTCCTCTCTGAAATCAATAAAAATATCTTTTTTTTAAAAAAGCCTTGGTGCAGTCACTTTTTAAAGCCAGGTATATAAGGCATTATCTTCCATCAACTGAAAAAATACTTATATGAAACACTGAATGTCTGAATTAAAATGTGCTAATTACAAACATCAGATAAAGGAATTACTTAGAACATAAAAGGAAAAGGATTTATCACTATTTAAAACTGCTGCTCTCCTTTGACTTTAAATTAAATTCACATTCTCAAGAGAGACCTTCTGTGACTATCTAAAGTAGCTCTCCCTGTTATTAACTGGTCATTATGTATGTTCATTTTCTTCATGCAGCAGTCACAATATATAATTATTTAATTTGTTCATTTACCATCTGTCTTACTCAGAAGAGTGCAAACTCTATAAGGTATAGGGGCCTTTTCTGTCTCATCCTCTGTTTATTTCCAGTGCCGGGCACACCTTGCTGATTAGTAAAAACTGTGCTGGATAAATGAATGAAAATGTTCAGTGTACAAGTAGCTACAAAAAGGTTAAGATATATGGGTTTCTTTTCTTAAACCAAAAACAAAAACACACCCAGTCAAAATCTGAACATAATTTGTAGCAAACTACACTAAAATTAAATAGTACAATAAAAATTATGAAGATAACTAGACAAGTTTACTTAAGAATAAAGATTATGCCCTGCCCGTGTGGCTCAGTGGTTGAGTGTATGAACCAGGAGGTCACAGTTGATTCCCCGACAGGGCACATGCCCCAGTGCAGGCTTGATCCCCAATAAGGGGCATGCAGGAGGCAGCCCATCAATGATTCTCTCTCATCACTGATGTTTCTTTCTCTCCCCCTTCCTCTCTGAGAGCAATTTAAAATGTGTATTTTTACAGAGAGGAAGGGAGAGGGATAGAGAGTTAGAAACATCAATGAGAGAGAAACATCGATCAGCTGCCTCCTGCACTCTCCCCACTGGGGATGTGCCCGCAACCCAGGTACATGCCCTTGACCGGAATCCAACCTGGGACCTTTCAGTCCGCAGGCCGACGCTCTATCCACTGAGCCAAACCGGTTTCGGCAAAAATGTGTATTTTTTAAAAGAAGAAAGGTTTGCCCGGCTGGCATAGTTTTGAGCATCTACCTAGGAATGCAGGAGGCAGCCAATCAATGATTCTCTCTCATCATGGATGTTTCTATCTCTCTCTCCCTCTCCTTTCCTCTCTCAAATCAATAAAAATATATTTAAAACAATAAAAAAAATAAAAAGAATAAAGGTTAGCATAAAGAACCCATTTAAAGACTTATTTAGGATTGGATCATGTCCCCTGAGTATGAAGAGGAAATCTCTACAAATACCAGGGTTACTGTGAGCTTCTTGTGGCAGTAAATGACAATGTCCTTTTGGAGGAAAAAATACAAGCAAATGTCTAACTTATCAGGGAGTAGTTGTCAAATACTACATACTTCTTAACTGATAGATACTGCTGGATACCATAGGAAGAACCTTGGACTTTTAATTTGTAGGGGGTAAAAAACTCACAGAAACATTCACACTTTGCTTCCTTTTCAACTTCTTTGGGTCAATCTGAGCTACCACAACGTCTGGACACTGAGCGGCTTCGATCCTACAAGTAGGTAATAAATGCAAGAAATGTGATTACATGGGCTTTGTTCATGTGGAATCAAAACAAGCTACCAATTTCTATGCAGTTCACTATGAAATTAGAAAAACAGTTCAGAACTACAACTGAGGCACTGACCAAGATGTTTCTTACATTATCTTGCCATGGGTATTCAAGTTTAATTATAAGGGAGTTCATGGAAACTCGCCCACGTAAAGGTGTAACCAAGCGATCGGGACCCGACCGGAGCTGAGACTGGACGGAACCAAGGCGGGGCTTCATCACACTGCGGGCTGGACGGGGCGTGCGGCGACCGCGGGGGAACAGGAAGGACGCCCGCCCTCCCGCACAGGCCACATCACTCACTGGACCCGCCTCAAGTATTCCTGAGGCGTCCTCGGGGGGATGGAGGGGTCGAAACCTTCTGTCAAGTCGCAGGGCTCCACTGGCAACAGCCGGGGCATCAACTCTTCCACTGCAGACTCCGCGGGTACCCACGCCATGGCTGACAGTCCAGCCAACCCCGCGTCTGGGTCACGGCGCAGGCGCACCAGGAGGCGCCTTTGGCGCGGAGTTGAGCCCGCGGCCGGCTTGCGGGGCGTGGTTGCGCCTGCGCAAACCTGCCGCCTGGTCTAAGGCTCCTTGGTGCCGGGAAGACTGCGAGTTGAGCTCCTTGCGGGAGCGGTTCTGAATGTTTCTGCGTGTGCACTCTTACACCCTCTGTCCTCTCTCCTAAGGTTCGGGTAGAAACTGAAGACTGATAACTTTTATGCACCGCTGGTAGTGAGGGGTCCTAAAATATTTTTTAAATTAATGAGCAATATGACTGTAATTATCCTTTATTGACCTCTAAATTCTTAAACCCCTGGTACACAGGTCACATATATTTCCTCATTCAATTTTTACAACCTTTTGAAGTAGCTGGTGTTATCCCGGTTTTGCATAAGGGAGAAAATCGACCTGAAGACGGGTTAAGTACTACCAACTGTGACTTTCTCCCAAAGGGGAAGAAAAGCCAATTCCAACCCAGATTTGTCTGAAGACAAATGGACAAAAATTTAATTTTTGTACGAATCTCTTGTGCTTGGCTACTTCAAAGTTCATTTTATATTTATCTGAAGTGAATATTACTCCGAGAATAACCATTAGTTTTTTCTTTTTTTCAAAAAGAACTCTTCTTAAATATAAGTAGTGCAAAGGATAAAACTAATGCTAACACCTAGGAGTCATCATTATTAATCTTAGAGCCAATCTTGTGAGGTGAGTACAATTATCTCCATTTTACAAGTGAGCAAACAAGACAGAAATGATTGAGGTAACATTGGCTGGGTCACAAATTGCAAGAAAAAATGAAAGTATTAAATCTCAATTTTTCTAAACAAGCTCTGTGTGAATACAATTGACTTTTATTTATAAGGTTTACTAGCGGCCCGGTGCACAAAAATTTGTGCACTCAGGGAGGAGAGGGGGTCCCTCAGCCCGGCCTGTGCCCTCTCGCAGTCTGGGACCCCTTGGGAGATAACGACCTGCTGGCTTAGGCCTGCTCCGGGTGGCAGAGGGCAGTCCCAATCCCTAGGTGCAGCCGCTGGTCGGGCTCAGAGCAGGGCCGATTGGGGAGTTGGGGCGCTGCCCCTGTCATGCACAGAGCAGGGCGGATCAGGAGGTTGCGATGCCACCCCTAGTCACGCTCAGGGTAGGGCCGATTGGGGGGTTGGGGCACCGCCCCCTGTCACACTCAAGGCAGGGTCAATAGGGAGATTGCGGCGCCACCCTGTCAGGCACAGAGCAGGGCTGATCAGGGGGTTGGGGCACTGCCCCCTATCACGCACAGAGCAGGGCCCATCAGGGGGGTTGGGGCTCTGTACCCTGTCACACACAGAGCAGGGCCGATCAGTGGGTTGAGGAGCTCACCCCTGTCACACACACAGCAGGGCCGATCAGGGGGTTGAGGATCTCCCCCTTGTCACTCATAGAGCAGGGCTGATAGGGGAGTTGGGGCACTGCCCCCTGTCACACACAGAGCAGGGCAGATCAGGGGGTCGGGGTGCCGCCACTGTCACACTCAGGGCAGGGCCGATGGGGGGGGGGGCGGGTTGGGGCTCCGCACCCTGTCACACACAGAGCAGGACCGATCAGGGGGTTGTGGCGCTGCACCCTGTCACACACAGAGTCACAGGGTGATCAGGGGGTTGGGGAGCTCCCCCCTGTCACGAACAGAGCAGGGCGGATAGGGAGGTTGTGGCCCCGCCCCCTGTCACACACAGAGCCACAGGGCGATCAGGGGGTTTGGGCACTGCCCCCTGTCACACTGATCCCGGTGCCGGGAGGCCTCGTGGCTCCGCTGATCCCAGTGCTGGGAGGCATATTACCCTTTTACTATATAGGACAGAAGCCTGGTGCACGGGTGGGGGCCGGCTGGTTTGCCCTGAAGGGTGTCCTGGATCAGGGTGGGGGTCCCGCTTGGGTGCCTGGCCAGCCTGGGTGAGGGGATGATGGCTGTTTGCAGCTGGTCACACACCCTTTAGGGTGGGGGTCCCCACTGGGGTGCCTGGCCAGCCTGGGTGAGGGGCTGAGGGCCATTTTCAGGCTGGTGGGTGACTGAAGCTCCCAACCTGTCCTTTTTTCCTTTTTTTTAATTCTGGGCCAGCTTTAGCTCTGAGGCTCGGCTCCAGCTATGAGACCTCCGCTGCTGAAAGCAGGTTTCTGGCCTTTGTTTACCTTCTGTATTTGAAACAATGTTGCGGTCCTGCTGGCTGAAGCCCGGGGTTTTGTTTAGCTTCTATATTTGTTACAATGTTGCTTAGAGTGCAGCTGAGAGGCTGGCAAGGCAGGCGGGGAAGCTTAGCTTCCTCCGTCACTGAAGCAAGCAAGCCTCCCTGTTTGCATCAGCTGCCTGGCTGCAGGCCGCCATCTTGGCTGGCAGTTAATTTGCATATCGCCCTGATTAGCCAATGGGAAGGGTAGTGGACGTACGGCTAATTACCATGTTTTTCTTTTATTAGATAGGATATTTATGTTTGAGGCGTTTGTTTTTTTTTTTAAACAAAAAGCACTGTTTTTAGCAATCGATTTAGAAACTAGAATGTAACTTACTCAATTGAAGACCAAATGAGGACAGTCCTTAGGTTAAAAACTCATGTTTGCCCTAGCTGTTTTGGCTCAGTGGATAGAACATTGGCCTACGGACTGAAGAGTCCCAGGTTCGATTCCAGCCAAGGGCACATGCCTGGGTTGTGGGTTCAATCCCCCATAGGGGACCTGTTGGAGGCAGCCAACCGATGATTTTCATCATTGATGTTTCTCTCTCTCCCCTTCTCCCTTTCTCTCTGAAATCAATAAAGAAATATATTAAAAAAAAATAAAAACTCCATGTATAAGAACATGGCAAAACTACACATGGATAAAGGAAAAATAGAGAAGAATAACAGAATGAACAAAGACTGATCTGGGAAATAATATTTTCCAAAAGAAGAGGTGTGTAATAAAGTACACTAATGATTTTGAAATGCTTTGTTTTAAAACCACAATGGGGTTTTTTGGGTTTTTTTTTACTGATTTATTTTTTTTTTTAAGAAAGAAAGAAGAGAGGGGAGGGGAGGGAGAGAGAGAGAGAGAGAGAGAGAGAGAGAGAGAGAGAGAGAAAGATAGATTTGTTGTTCCACTTTTGCATTCATTGGTTGCTTCTTCTATGTTCTCTGACCTGGGATTGAATCTAACCTTTGACGGATCAGGATGATGCTCTAACCAATGGAGCTACCCAGCCAGGGCTGAAATTCTAAAAATTTATTAAATATAAAGGCATAAATTCATTCAGAAGAAAGAAAAGTATATAAAAAATGTATGTCTTGCTTTCTGCTACTTCAAAACTAATCTGATGTAAAAGAATTAGTGATGAATTTTGGAACAAATTTTAATATGGTAATAAATTGGAAATTGTATTAAATATTTTTGATAATTTCAGTAAGATATGGAACATCTGAGAAGAAGCTATATGTGGTTGATGAAGTCATTCTGAAAAAGAAAAGCTTAATTGTTGGAAAGTTAAACTTCTAAAACTAGAATAACTATTTAAATCAACCTCTCCCTGAGAGGAACTATTCCTAAATTTCTGAACTATTTCTGGTGCCCTATTTTCAAAGATTCCAGTTACTTATTAGTTTAAAATGGAATTCTTTTTATTTCAATGTTTCTTACATTAGTGTTTGGCTATAGTATTTATATTAGGTTTGGGCAAACAGAACACTCAGCAGCTGTTTATTGATGATGGTGGCATCTGTTAAGTCATCCTTGCAGAGCTAAATGCAAAATTTGTCCTTGTGTTTTATATTCCCTTAAGCAGTTTAGTTATTCTCATACATTAATGTGTATAAGAATTAGCTAAGCCCTAGCTGGTTTGACTCAGCGGATAGAGTGTTGGCCTGTGGACCAAAGAGCCCCAGATTTGATTCCAGTCAAGGGCCTGTACCTTGGTTGCAGGCTCCTCCCTGGCCCAGGCCCTGGTCAAGGGGTACAGGAGGCAGCCAATCAGTATGTTTCTCTCACATTGATGTTTCTCTCTATCTTTCCCTCTCTCTTCCACTCTCCCTGGGGTTAGGATTAACAAAAAACAAAACAAAAAATAATTATCTGAAAGAGAGGTGTTATTCTGTTGATTGGATATGGTAGGGCCCTGAAATTGACATTTTAAGAAACATCCAAAAGAGAAACAAAGCTTAGCCCATTCATTTTATCCTTTCCCTCCCTATTCTTTAAGATCTACTATACTAGAATTTCTCCTGTCTAATTATACTTTCTCAGTTCTTTTTTCCTTGGCCACAATCTAAAATTTCATTTGCCTCTTTTTGCCATTAAGCTTTAATGAACCCAGTTATCCAATTGATATGTATCAGTTTTCAATTATGTGCCAGGCACTGTGGTAGGCATTGGGAGTTACAGTGGTGAGTTTCTTCTCTCATGGTGCTTACAGTGTAGTGGGCAGGGAGCTGTTTATCAAACAGTGATTCAAGTGAATTCTAAAAGATAACTGAGATAAGTACTACTAAGGAAAGTTTTTTTTTTTAATTTCAAGAAAAAAGATCTTAAATATAACAATGTTACATACAATAAACATTAATACCTCAAGAAAAACTATTTTAAATATGATAATGTTACATGCAATAAACACCAATTATTCAAGAAAAGTGATCTTGTCCTAACTGGTTTGGTTCAGTGGATAGAGTGTCGGCCTGCGGACTGAAGGGTCCCAGGTTCGATTACAGTCAAGGGCATGTACCTTGGTTGCAGGCACATCCCCAGTGGGGAGTGTGCAGGAGGCAGCTGATTGGTGTTTCTCTCTCATGGATGTTTCTAGCTCTCTATCCCTCTTCCCTCCTCTCTGTAAAAAATCAATAAAATATATATTTTTTAAAAATCGTGCCGGGCCAACACAGCCAAGGGTTTGATGAGCCTGAGGAGGAACGGTGAAGGATTAAAGAAAAGACAGACAAAGAGAATAAGCTGGGTCTAGGTCAGGGGTGGGCAAACTTTTTGACTCGAGGGCCA